GCAGGGATATTTGAATAGATTAGATAGAGAAGTGGGTTTGGTTAATTAGAGTGCATAGTATTATGTTAGGACTATCTTCATTGTGCTTCAGTGTGTTTGCTACCTTTGGGATTTGGTGGCTACCTCTGTATTCCCTACTCACCCTTTATGAAGCAGGCTGGTGTGGTGTTCAATGTCATGGGAAATATGACCTAAGTTTTCTGAGGGATTCCTGATTCACTTTCCATTTATTGTGAGAGTGAGATGAAACAAGGTGTATGTTTGCCAGGTGGAAAGTGGGTACCCAACATATGTTTTCCTTCCATGTCACCATCTTAGATTTGACTTCTGTACCTGCCATTCCTCCAGGGGAAAGTCTTTGATTGACATATCAGTGAAAATCAGTTACCAGGTCATTTTTAAGATTAGCTTATGAATTCCAGACGGCTGAATAAAATTATGCAAAAATAACTCCCTGAGGAAGCATAGTGGTGTACTGAGTTCATATGTCATACTGCATCAAGAGAAAGAGCTAGCAAAATGTCACCTTCTCATGTGAGGCTGTTATGGGGCCACAAATGTTGGCACCAGACAGCTTAATAGAAGACACTCTGCTGGTGGGTGGCTGTTCCTCAGTGGAAGACAAATGTGCTGAGATGAAACAATCTTAGTGGGTTTACAAAAAAACCTGGATTTCTTGACTGTGGCCTTCAAAGTCTCTGGCACTATTCATTTTTATAGAGAAGTAGGTCACCCAGCTTCAGCACCACCATAAGCTTGGCAAGGGAACTCCCTTGTCTTCTGATCACTCCATCAGAACTTTGACAAATGAGAGTAAAACAAAATCTCCTCCTGCTTTCTCTGACCTCTTTCTTTCAAATGTGGCATTTAAATCCTTGTTTAAGTTACATTTGAAAATAACCAGCTTTTCCAACGCAAGGTAATCTCAGTGCTAGAGGAGGCTGGTTGCAAGGATATAAAACAGTGGCTAAATCCTAAGTCATTTATATCTATTTATTTTTTTGGCCTCAAACTGTATACTAAATGGATTTTCAGATTTGAGGATGAAAGGGTGAATTGAAGTTTATGGAGCAAATAAGTAAACAACAATTTCAGTAGGGAAGAGTGAATTGCCTTTAAGGACATTCTGTATAAAACACCTCAGCAAAAGACTTTAAAATGTGCATCCCTAAGGCTTTAGGGTGAAAGTTCAAGGTAGATGGCCAGGGTCTGCTTTTTAAGAGACTTCAGAACTAAAAGGTGAGGTTCCTATCATGTCAAGGATCACAGTACTACTGGGGTTAATGACACTCTCCCCCACTACACATGCGAGCGCACACATGAACAGTGATACAGAGTTCAGCTTTCATTCTCATATTGCCCAAAGGGGTGTAAAATAAAAAGAGGTCAGCCAAAAAAATCGACTATCTGTTAAATTAGACTTGCAAAAAGTGCTACCCCCCCCCCCTAAAAAAATAATTATACTGTGCTCCTGTTTTATGGAATTTTACGGCATACAATCCCCTTTATACTGAATCCTAACCTGGCGCCACATTGGAGACATACACAGCATAGAAACCACTTTAAAAAACCACGAGGTATAATAAACACTTTGTTTGTACAAGGCTATTAATATCTCGGGGGTTTTTTGAACTGATCGGATGGCATGCTTGCCTCTTAAGGAGATTGGGTTGTTACCATTTGCAGTATATTATGATGTTACTTAGAGTCTCTGTTAACTCTGTGAACAGATGAGACCCCACGAGTAGTGTGAATAGAGAGTCCTTCTCCCACTTTATTCAAAGAAAAGTAGCAATCATGCAATAGTAGCTGACACTCTTATTCTTTTTTTAATAGTGTGACCCAGTAACTATTGATGATTATTGATAACATATATAGTGCTTACTATGTGCTAGGCATTATATTGTAAGTGCTCTCTCTCTCTCTGTAAATACACACACATCCCCATAGTGGTTTATTTAATCTTTAGAATAACCCCATGAGGTAGGTACTGTTATTACCCTTATTTTATAAATGAGGATACTGGGGTAGAGTGATGATTAGTAACTTTCCTAAGCCATGCAGCTAGGAAAAGTCAGAGCCAGAACTCCAACCCAGACAGAGCGCCCAGGGGCCATGCTCTAGACCACTTCACCATACTGGCAGAAGGAAGCCTGCAGAGTTGATTCCTTGTGGGTGTAAGGCATGGCTTTGTCCCTTTGGGGAATCTGAGGAAGCCCTTATGACTGAGGCAATTCAAAAAATCAAATGAAATGCAGACCAAAGCATCTACTTGACAAAGATTTTGAAAGGCCTAGGGATGATGCATGGAATCTGCTAGCTCAGTGTCTGCCTCCTCAACACTTACTGTTGTTATTATTATTATTATCCTTACAGTTTCCAAAGCATCCAGTTTGAATTTCTATACAAAACCATATCTTAAATTTACAGTCTGTTTAAAATCTCTTAAAGAAAGCTCACCTTATCCCCTATTGTTTTAGGTCTGGGTTCTTGGTTGCTTTCTCAGGAGTTTGCTTTAGGGTCACCTTAAAGAATATTTTTCACTCACTCCACTTATGGTGGTCTCATTCAGTTGCTGATGAGCAACTTGGGGTGAGAAGAGAGGAGAACTTGCAACCAATAAGTCCTGGTTTAGCTTTCTACCTTTTGTGTGTGTGTGTGTGTGTGTTGGGTGGCGGGGGGTGGGGGTGGTTACTGGGGTTTGAACTCAGGGACACTCAATCACTGAGCCACATCTCCAGCCCTCTTTTGTATTTTATTTAGAGACAGGGTCTCACTGAGTTGCTTAGTGCCTCATTTTTGCTAAGGCTGGCTTTGAACTCCTAATCCTCCTGCCTCAGCCTCCCAAGCTGCTGGGATTACAGGCCTGCACCACCGCACCTGGCCTCTACCTTTTTTACTTAATAGCTTTGTAGTCCTACAAATCACTCATCTCTCCGAGCCTCCGTTTTTCTTCATAAAATAGAGATAGCAGTTTTGTCTAGTGAGTTACCACGAGGATAAACCATATATAAAGTGTGGCACATTAGATACAGAAGCAGTGGATTATTATCAGAATCTGTCTTGTCCTCTAGAACACGGTTTCTATCTCCCCTAGAGTTGGCTCATGCTTATGGAGCTACTCCATGACAGTGTCAATCATCTCCGATTGGACGAGGTCTGATTCATTTCCTGTTATCAGTGGAAAAGAGCAGACTTACGGGAGCAGCCGTCATTTTATTATTCTGTTTGCTTTTTCAGGTCTCTAAGGGGAGCCACATGGGCTGGGGGTTGTGATGTATCTTGCTTTTCATTTTGAAGAATGATTATAGAGCGATTGACCCCAGTGGTGATGCTTTTTACCTCATTCCCTTGTCCCATAACTACTTTTTTCTACTCCGCCATCCCACAAATGGACTGGATTCTTTGCCGCTTGAATCGATTTTCAGTAAGTCCCCACCCACCACCCCATCCTGTTGTAAATGTTCAGTGTGCCGTCTTTCTTTTCGGTAATTTCCACTAGGGCAAAATCTGTTCCAAGGCAGGATGTGTGCTTCTTTTTTTTTTAATGCCACCGATGATCAGAATACTTTTTGCCACTCCTGTGTTCAGAAGATCAAACACATTCTCGAGAATTCTTTCAGCAGGGATGAATATCAATGTTTGAAAGGTATTGTTGATTTTTTTTAGAAAATTGCCAAGGTTCTAAGCAAATAGTTCAAGCAAATAATTAAATTGATCTTCCTAGTTTTTTGTTAGCTATATTTGAAATCCAGCCTCTTCCTGCGTCTCTGTTGCTTCCTCCCTCTCACTTGGGTTATTCCAATGGCCTCTTAGTCCATCTCTTGTTTCCCTCAGAAAGCACTCAGCACTCCCTGAGGAGATGTGGGTCATGTCAAAATCCCCTGTTCACTGTAGTCACCCTACTGTTCAGTGGAACACTGGCACCTGTTCCTTCTATCTGGTATAAATTTACCAGCCTCTCTCTCCTCCCCAGCTTCTGTAACTACTATTCTACTCTATTACTGTGAGATCAACTACTTTATATTTCAAAGCAACTAGAAGAGAGGATTTTGAATGTTCTCATCACAAATCAATGACAAGTGTTAGAAGTGATGGATATATATGCATTGCTCTGAATTTATCATTACACAATGCACATGCATCAAACACTGTACCCCATAAGCATTTAAAAACTAAAAAAAAAAACCTTCTTTTAAAAGCCCCCTGTTCTAATCCCTACAATGGCTTCTTATGCCACCGACTGTGCCTTATGCAGCTGCCTCCACCTGTCCCTTCTTTGCCTGCTCCTTGACTGTAACCTCTCTGACTCATGGGGCTTCCACTTGCTGACCTCTTTGCAATTTTTCAAACACTCAGAGCTCATTTCTTCCTGAGGCTTGTGGCCACCGTTCCCTCCATCCACAGTGCTTGTCCCCAGCTCCCCACCTGGCTCACTCCCTTCATTCCTTTTGGTCTCTCCTCACATGTCTCTGACTCAGGGGGGCCTTTCCTGGCTCCCCTGTCATCTCAGTGTCTCTCTGCCCAGTACGTCCAACCCCATTCTCCACTGTACTCTTCTCCTTGATACTTTTCTTCAATATTTGTACTTGATCTTTTGCTCCATCCTTAGGCGGTTTATGGTGTTATCTCCACTAATGGAGATAAACTTCTGAAATGGTTCTTGTGTAGTGGGTGATTAATAAATGTTTTTGAATGAATTTATGGAAAATTTCAAAAGATTCAAGTACAAGGAATCTTGTGAAAATAAATATTCAACTTCATGCAAAGGGTTTTTTTTTTTTTTTAGAATTTTTTCTTTGTTCTTTTTAGTTATACCTGACAGTAGAATGTATTTTGACATATTATACATACATGGAGTGTAACTTCCCATTCTTGTACATGGTGTGGAGTTTCACTGGTTGTGTATCATATATGAACATAGGAAAGAGATGTCAGATTCATTCTATGGTCTTTCCCATTCCCATCCCCTCTCCTTTCCCCTCATTCCTCTTTGTCTAAAAACTATGGAGTGCTTCATGAATTTTTATGTTGTCCTTGCACAAGGGCCATGCTAATCTTCTTGGTATTGTTCCAATTTATATGTGCTGCCAAAGTGAACACCATGAAGAAATTCTTTTAAGAAATGTTACTTGTTTATTATGATTGGGAAATTCTACATTTTAAAGAAGATATGGGTCAATATTTATGAAGAAAGAATGTATATATCTACCCATTTTTGTATTATTTATTCATGGCCAATTCTGGTGAAATAGATAATAACAGCATAGGTTAAAAAAATAAAGTTACAAGTTAATGAAACGGATATTCTTGAATAACTACTATGGTTTAAATATAGTTTATTCCCTAAAGGTTCATGTGCTGGATGCTTAGTCTCAGTGTCACAGTATCAAGAGGTGATGGAACCTTTAAGATGTGGGGCTTAGTGGGAGGTAATTAGGTTATTAAGGTACTGCCTCAAATGTGGTTTATTTCTGTCTTGTGGGTGAGGGTTGTATAGTGCATACTGGATTAGTTACCTGAAAGTAGGTTATTATAAAGTGGCAGCACCCACGTTTGTCCTCTTCTGTTCATGCCACTCACCACTATTGCCACCAGTCATGTTGTGAAGTAGTAGAAGCTCCTCAACCAGAGATCAATCAAATGTGACTGCCTAAGCTTAGACTGTGAAACCATGAGTCAAATAAACCTCTTTTCTTTTAAAGTATCCATCCTTAGGTATCTTATTATGATAATACAAAATGAACTAATATAGTAACTCATAAGCTCTGTATATTTGTAGAAAAACTACACAGTTTCATTATTGTATAGTCAACTCTCCCTAAATTAAAGTGTTTGGCTGAATATTAATAGGGATTTAAATTTAGTACAGGTCCTATATGTCTTAAGAGCTAGGAGAATGGAAAAGGATGTTTGAAGGGTGTTTCCCAAGCATGTGTATATTGAAGTCAGAGTGGAATTGGAAGGTGAGGTCAAATAAAGAGATCAGAAGATATGGCCTCAGAGAACTCTCAGATTGGTTGTAGAGATTCCCTCCATGACAGGAAACAACTGGGTAATTGTCAGAATCCATAGTGTGTGATGGAGCTGCAAGGATTGAGAAAGTTCAGCCCGGAGAAGAGTGTTATCATGTTGGCTTAGTTTTCCTTCAAATTTTGCCGTTACACATTGTGCAACACAATCTCTTTCTTTGCCTGCACTGAGGGACTTCTTCCTGTTAAGTCTTTTTCTCTACTGTGTCGTTTCTGCATGATGGTCTCATGAACGCGTTTGAGCTGTCACATCTGAGAGACAGTCCATTCACACAAAGTACTCCTTCATCCTGTAGACCTGTGAAATGAATTCCCTTATTTATGCACACATGAATAAAAGCCCATCTGTAGAGAATGGGAAAAAAAAGAAGGAAGCATATAGAATTATAAGGTGTTTCATCACAGAAGAGAGATTTTCTTGTATGTGTGTGTGTGTGTGTGTGTTTAGCTTGAAGAGGTATCTAATGACATGCCCATAAAGATCATTAAAGATCTGCATATGCTCTACTTTATCATGACTGCACATTGGAATGTATAATATAGGTACTTATCAATGTGCATAACTATGTACCGTGAAGAGACTTAATTTGGTGACCCAATAATGTATCTATCAGAGTTCTAAAGAGGCTGTATTTTTTACTTGCTTCCTTCTTCTGAAGCTCATGTATATTTCATGAGGGCCGACTGTGCAAGCTCTCGTGAAGTTCTTGCCAGGTTTATTTAGGACATCTTAGGTGCAGTTCTGAAGGAGCCATGGCAACTGCAGGACATGATGATGGCTGAAGCAAGGTAAGTACTGGGTCTGCTAAACTGCTTTTGAAGAACGATAGTGCATTATGTTGGTTTGTTAGGCAGCTCTGACGTGGCCCATGTGGTCAAGCAGGCTACACTAAACAGGAAGAGTGAACTACATTAGTGCCAAGGCAGAACAAGCAGTCTTCCCCAGTTCGGGTTCTCCATAAGGCCCTACTTTCTATTACCAAAATTTCTTTCTTGCTCTTTCTCCCCTATTTTCATTGCCTTCCTAAGGTGGGATAAGTTGAAAGGTTAAAATACAGTGTAAAATTGCCTATACCGTTTGGTGATTCTGACCTCCTTGACATACCTCACCTCTGTGGGGCTACATGGATGCGTATAAAATGCCAAGAAGCTTTTATCCATTGCAGTAAAAGACTGTTCATGGGCTTGTCACTTGATCACGTGTGTCTTTCTAATGAAGTCTGTTAGTTGATGAGAATTTACCAAGCAGGGGCTGTGTATGGAGCTGTGGAGAAGACTCTATGGGGTAACAAGAAAGAGAAAGAACGTTCCTTTCCCTGAAGGACTCCACAGTGAGACTGAGCATTTAGAACACACTCAACATAGCATAACTTGTGAATACCCACTCTTACGGGGTAGCCAGACCAAAAAAAAAAAAAAAGATTAATAAGTATGTTGATGTTCTGATTCTCAGAATGTGACCTTATTTGGAGATAGGGCCATTGCTGATGTAATTCGTTAAGATGAGAGTCATATTGGAGGAGGGTGGGTCTTGAATAATCATATGACTGGTGTTCCTATAAGAAGAAGATCATGTGGCTGGGCATGGTGGCGCTCGCCTGTAATCCCAGCCACGCTGGAGGTTGAGACAGGAGTATTGTAAGTTCAAAACCAGCTTCAGCAACTTGAGCAAGGCCCTTAGCAACTTAGTGACACTCTATCTCAAAATTAAAAAAAAAAAAAAAGTGGGGGGAGGGGTTTGCTGAGGATGTGGCTCAGTGATTAAGTGCCCCTGGGTTCAATCCCCAGTACCAAATAAATAAATAAAGAAGGCCATGTGAAGATGGAGGCTATACAAAGATGAAAGCAGGGACCAGAGTTGTGTGGCAGAAGCCAAGGAGTGCCAAAGATGGCCAGCAAACAACCAGGAGCTGGAAGGAGCAGGAGGGAAGGGCCCTTTCATAGGGACCTCAAAGAGAGCATGATCCAGCCAACACCTTGATTTCCAGCCCCTAGATCTGGGAGAGACAGCATTCTCTCATTTTAAGCCACCCAGCTTGTGGTACTTTGTTACTCCAGTGCCAGGAATCAGATTCATCAATAGCTTGGCCTTGCCTGACTCCTATAAGGCAAACTCTTCAGAACCCCAAGTAAGCAAGTTCAGAAAGGGCAAAAGGCCACTGAATAGAAAGTGAGCACCTTTATTTGCGCCCCCTGTCTAATAAGCCAGCATATCTCTATTACCTGGACTGGGTTCTCTCGGTGCTCAGGATCCCTGCCAGTCTTAACAGATGTTGAGATGAATTTTTCTATCATATTCTTGCTCCAGGAAACTCCCTGACTTCCCTGAGCTAGAGTAGATGTCCTGCTTCTATCCGCTCATTGTGCCCTGTGAACACATGGCTTTAAATTCTTAGGGAGATGTTTGTATTCCCTTACTATTCAGTGAACTCTTTTAAGAACAGGGACCATTTCATTGTCCTGTAATTTAGGTGTCATGCTTTGCTTACATCTGGTCTTTAATATTTGTTGAACCACATCAGAGAAACTAAGCTATCAAATAAATTCAAACAAGTGAAGAAAGGAAGACTCAGTGCATACTAGATGCTCAGCTGTTATTCTGAGGATGAATGAATGACTAAACAGATTAACCAAGCATGTTAAGTAGTTCAGCACCTCTAGCTATCATCATCTATTATTTTTCTGTCATTATTATTTTTTTACTCCTCCACAATCAATGAAAGCCTTCTGGAGTAGGAATGTTGGTGTGGTATGTTAAAGTATCACTTGTTCCTCCAATAAATAAGCCCAAGAGTGTGTTCAGGGGTGCGCTTTGTGTGTCTGTCTCTGTGAGTTAGGATTTCAGTAGTATTAGGATTTCAGCTCACAGAGTCAGATTCTTCTAAGATCAAATCAGTGAATATATATTCCTTATCTGCTAGTGCCAGCAAACTAGAATATAAGAGTGTGTGGAGATTTAATTAAGTTTTTGTTTCTGCCCATCTTTGAGGAGCTTAGTATTCCATTGGGGGAAATAGACATTTATATACATACATAGTTACCCTCACAGTATGCGCAAGGGGTCAGATATCCAGCATTCAGTAATTACATGGGGAGCTAGGAAAAGAAGTCTGACTTTAGTTTATACCGAAAGTAAACATTTCATTGAAAAGCTGGAGTTGAAGTTTGAATTTGAAGAATGGAAAGTTTTCTCTTTTTTTTTTTTTCTAATTTAGTCAAAAAAATTTTTAAGGTAAATATCAGAGGTAGGAGAAAAGCATTCTGATAGGGTTACTAGTCTAAAGACAGATTTTAGAATACATAATATATGTTTTAGGGATATTATTTAGCTTAGGCTTTCCAGAATGAAAGGTGAGTCTAGAATGAGAGGTTGGTAGCCAGTTGTATATTATATCAGTTATACTATATGCACTAAGCATTAAAAGCTTCTGGAAGTTTCTGAACAGGAAAGGAACATAATTATAGCAAACATTATGAATAGCAAACACTATGATTGGTACGTTGCCTACTCTGGGACATTCAATGATCTCAACAATGTAAAAGGTGAGTTTGAAAATCAGATTCATCAATAGCTTGGCCTTGCCCAACTCCTAAGCTTCTGAACCCTTCCACTATGCTAACAATCTTCAAGGGCAGTTGGCACAGCTCTATGGATTCTTCAGAGAACCTAAGGGGCCACTGAGGAAATGGAATGAATAGTCAATTGGCCCAGGTGGGTGGACTCCTGGTCTAATTAGTCCTCACAATACACTTCAACTGGTGAAATTCAACTTTCCTTTGCTGTATAAAACCTGCCACAGAGTGTTAATTAAAGAAACAGCCAACCAGGAAGGAAGTAACTGAGGATCTGGGAACAGGTTCCAGTTTTGGTCTTATGATATTTAACGTTGTCATCACCAACCTGATGAAGACATTGGATATGCAGTCACTAGTACTATGTGGCTGCAAAGGCTAGTTTACCTTTGCAAACTTAAAATTCAGAGATCATGTAATAAAGTACAAAATTAATACAGACATACATATTGTTTGCATTTGCTTCCAAGAAAGAGAGAGAAAAAAAAAAGAATTACA